TCATGATTCCAGGGTCCTGGGATCGAGTCCCACGTTGGGTTTCCTGCTCAGTGGGAAACCTGCTTCACCCTCTACCTCTGCGCCTTATGCATGTGCATGTGCTCTCTCAAATAAATAAAATCTTAAAGAAAGAAAGAAAGTAGTGACTTCATGAAGAAGAGGTCCTGGCGTGTGTTGCAGTGTAGTCTCTCCTGTTCATCTGAACTTGGCACTTCAGGAGGATATCCTGTGTGTGTTGCCTATATCCTGCTGTTGTGTCTGAGTCACTTTTATTTTCAGTGTAGTTATATGCACTGACTCTGCCTGCTCTGGGCTCTCCTTGCTCACTGCGGTATTAGTGCGACTCGGGCAGTCCAGCTCTGATGTATATGCCTGCAAGGGAACTTGATGGCAGGGCACTAGGCATTAGCAAAATTTGCACTGGGCCACTAGTTCTATGCCAGATTTGTAGAAGCACTGTAGCACCTGAGGGTTGCATGAAAGCTCGGCTACAATGCCCAGGGATGGCTGGGTGCACCTGAGGCTGGCAAGTGACAGTAGCTGGGGGCATGCGGCAACTAGGTGGGATGCCTGATGGCAGCTGTGGACCCACTGGTTGCTAGGTAGGAATGTACAAGTTTTACAAACTTTGTCCTGATCCCAGGGCCAAACCTACCAGGCTTGGAGTGGGCAAGTCCTCAGGAGAACTTGTGAGCATGGCACACTGCTAGCAGGTTAGGTACCAAGTGTCTGTGCAGCTCTGCCTCCCACAGATGGTCCTGTGTTTATGCTGGTGAGTAGGGGGAGGAAAATTCCACCTACCATCTCCCTCATTTTCAGAGAAGTCCCCCAACATGCTCTGAAATCTGTATGAAGAGATCTGTCTCCCATTTGCTCCTGGTATTGTGTAAACTGCTGTCTCTATATTGTCTTTCCTTGCAGGCCGCTGTCCCTTGCCCTCCTGGCTGGACTGCCTCTACTTGGCTTGTCCCAGTTCTCCCAGTGCTGAGTCAGCTGATTTTTAAAGCTGCTGGCTCTAAGTCCCACTGGTTATACAAACTTACACAGTTAAGCAACTCTGATTTTCAGAGCCAAACTTTATGGGGATTAGGCCTCCCCGTGTGAGCTCCCTGGTATGAGGGTCCATTTCTCTGCTGTCTCCCTGCATGCAGCTACCTACCTCCTAAGGGGGTTAAGCCTCCTTCCACCTTTCTCACCTTCCTAACCTTTCAGATGCAGCTTCTTCTCTATATTTTGCTGTGGGGTTTTTTCTTCCAGCCTTTGATCACTCTCTTGTTCATTGACTTGGATGTGGATGATACCTAGTTGTAAACATGAGAGGGATGAACTCAGGGTCCTCCTCCTACACCCTCTTCCCAACCTCCTTTAAAGTAATTATCGATAAATATTTACTTACTGCCACAATTGTTTTCTGGTTGTCCTGTAATTCTTTCATGTTCCTTTCTTCTCTTGTTGTCTTATGATTTGGTGACTTTATTTCCTTCTCTTTGTTTTTTATGTATCATTTTTAGTTTGTGATTATCCTGAGGTTCACATATAACACCCTCTGTATGTAGCGATCTATTTTAAGTAGAGGGTTGCTTAGGTTCAAACACATTTTACAAGCACTGCATTTTTATGCCCCTCCCCATTTTTTGTATTTATGTCACAATTTGTATTATTTTGTTTATCCTTTAACTGATTATTGTAGATATAACTGATTTTACTACCATTGCCTTTTAACTTTTATATTAGCTTTATAAGTAGTTGATGTACTACCATCAGGGTATGGTTGCTTATACCAGTGAAATTTTTTTCTTAATTTTCACACGCTGTGGCTTCTTTTCTATTTAAAGAAGTCCCTTTAACATTTCTTGTAAGGCCAGTGTAGTGGTTATGAACTCCTTTATCTTTTGCTTGTCTGGAAAACTTTATCTCTACTTAAATGCTGAAGGATAATTTTGCTGGATAGAGTATTCTTGGTTGGCAGTTCCTTTCTTTCTATACTTTGAATATATTGTGCGATTCCATTCTGGCTTGCAAAGTTTTTGCTGAAAAAATATTCTCCTAGTCTTTTATGGGTTTCCCTTGTAAGTTAAGTTGGTTTTTTTCTTGCTGCTTTTAAGAGTCTCCTTTTCCTTAGATAATTCTGTGTCCTGGTGTGGGGCTCTGAGTTCTACTTATTTGGAACTCTGCACTTCCCAGATGTGGGATGTCTCTTTCCTTCTCCAGGTTGGGGAAGTTTTCAGCCGTTATTTCTTCAAATAAGTTTTGTGTCCCTTTCTCCCTGTCTCTCCTCCCAGGACCCCTTTATGCTAATGTTCATTTGCTCTCTGTTCTTTCATAAATCCTTTAAGGTATCGTTACTCTTTTAAATTTTTTCTTTTTGCTGCTCTGATTAAATGAGTTCCACTACCCTGTCTTTGAGTTCACTGACCCCTCTACCACTTCATCTAGTCTGCTCTGGAACCCCACCATTGTATTTTTCAGTTCAATCATTGTATCCCTCAGCTCTGGGATGTCTGTGTGTTACTTTTTTATATTGTGTATCTCTTAGTTGAAGTTCTCACTTTGTTCATTCATTTCTCTGTTGAGCTCAACATGAGCATATTTGTGACTGCTATTTTGAACCCTTAGGTAAATCACTTATCTCCATTTCATTAAGATCTTTCTGAAGTTTTATCATGTTCTTTTGTTTGGGATGTATTACTCTTTTTTTTCTCTACCTTGGTTTCTGTGCATTAGGTAAAATAGCCACTTCTTCCAGTCTGGAAGGCATGGTCTCATGCTGGAGGTGAATGAACCTTGTTCAACCTTGCCCTTACTCTTTGTTGTCTCTCAAACCTTTGTGATTGTCCAGGCAACCTTCTTTGTCCTTAATGACTCCCAGTGGTTGAAGACTTGCTGAGACCTGTCCTGTTCCAAAGGGGAAGATCTCTTTCAGCACCTAGATAAGGCTGGTTGGAAGCTGGGCCCTCAGGCAGCAGCTTTTTAGCCCTTGAACAATGAGGGGGTTAAGAACAACAGCCCCTCTGCATGGTGGAAAATCTACCTATAAGCTGACTCCCTAAAACTTGTTGACTGGAAGCCTTACTGATAACATAAACAGTCAACATGTACTTTGTATGTTTTATGTATCATACACTGGATTCTTACAATAAAGCTAGAATAAAGAGAATGTTAGTTAAGAAATTGTAAGAGAAAATACATGTACAATACATTATTGTTTTTATTGGAAAAAAAAATCCATAGAGGTGGATCTGCACATTTCAAACCTGTGCTGTTTAAGGGTCAACTTTATACACCTTTCAGGGAAGACTAGTAAATGAATGTTTTTCTCTGGTCCCTCTACACTAGTAGATAGCCAGTCATGAGCTATCTCTTTGCTTACTGTCCCATTGAACTGATAAACATAAGCCCTGCTGGCCACCGGAGCCGGGGTATTGAGAGCTGTGTCCTCTAGGTGGCAGCCAAAAAAAAGACAGAGTGCCATACATTTACATAGGTCCTTTCACAGAGATGCTGGTGACCCAGAGCATGGCAGAGGGATAGTGCGAACATGATGCCCACAGGCCTCCTGGTTCTGGGCAGAGGACAGACCTTTGGGCCACAGCTTTTAAAGATCTACTAATAGGCCTCTTTCATGGAAAGACTGGCCTTCCTGTCCGCTGCCTCTGTACTGCGCCATGGTGTGGTTCAGGATTTCTTTTCCTTCCCACAGTCTGTGGTCACACTGCTTTGAAAAATGAAGAGATAGACCAGACGGAGTGGTTAGGCAGCAAAGCAAGGTTTATTGAGTGATAGTACAAAGCTCCTAAAGAGGGAGCGGAGCTGAGAGGGTTGCCACTGGAGTTTCTAAGTCTAGGGGGTTTTATGGGCTTTGTGATGGGCTATTTGAATCTGACGAACCCTCCATGCACCTGTCTTGCAATCAGGTTTTTGTCCTCTTTCTGTCACAGGGGAAAGGGTGAAGGGCTCCTTCCAGGGTGGTGTAAAATCCTTTAAAGTACAGTTTCCTTTTAGGGGTGTGGAGGGGGCTTGTCCCTACCTGCCTCTCTTCCAACTATTCTTTATCAGTGGGATAGCCGATTCAGAACTATTTCTTTGTTATAGTCCTGTGGGACCTAGAAATGGAAGCCCCCTGGCCACCAGAACCGAGTAATCAAGGGGTGTCCCTTAGTCAGTAGATACAAAGGCCAGTGTTATCAGGTAGGTGCACAGGCTCTTCTCTGGGAGATACTCCTGGCCTGGAGCAAGGCAGAGAGGGTGGAGATGATGCCCTCCAGACTCCCTGTTCCCTGGGCAGTATTTCTGTTGGCCCCTAGATGTGTGTGAAATTAGGTAACTGTCACTCAGGCGGATGCTGTGAGATAAACAAATAATCTGCTTTCACAAGAAGTCTGGGTACTTTCAGTTGGCTGCCTCTACAAAAGGCCCTGGAATGGGAAATCTGCATGCACAAGCCCTTCAAGAACTGTTTCTCAATTTGCTTTATAGCCTTGTGGATCTTGTGGAGCCAGCCGCTTTGGCTTTCAAAGCTAGGTGTCTGGGGAGCTCATCTCTCAGATGCAGATCTTAAAAGGTGGCGTGCCCTGATATAGGGTTCACACCCTTTCCTCCTTAGATCAGGTTTGTGAATTATCTCCTGATTGTGTATTGCCAGTGACAGTGGTGGGGTTTATGGTGAGTTGTGTCTCAGCCTCTTGAACCCACTTCAATGTGCATTTTTCTTCTCATTCACCCAGTGTGTAGGAGTTGCTAAGCCAGCTTCTGGATTTCTTTCAGAGGGAATTATTGCATATGTAACTGTGGATTTGGTGTTTGTATGGGAGGAGGTGAGTTCAGGAACTTTCTATATTGCCATCTTGAACTAGAACTCTATAATGGAGTTTGTAGGTGATTACCAGAATCCTCCCATTTTGGGGATCTAAAACATAAATATTATCCCCATTTGCTTTGGGGCATAGCCCTGTGCCCTTTCTCAGTCCTGACCTAACACTCAGCTGCTTTGTGATTTCTAGAAAAATAACTGTGTGCTACCTGAGGATGTGAAGAATTTTTACCTGATGACCAATGGCTTCCACATGACATGGAGTGTGAAGCTGGATGGTGAGTCAACCTTCTTGCTGTAGGGGAATGTTTCTCTGGCTGAGAGTTTGGGTATCTGGATGGTTGTCATGAGTTCTCCTAAAGTGCAGTGTCCAAAAGCTATGATTTTTCCCCCAAAGCCAACAAATACTATCATTGCTTCACCCACCATCCACTATGCCAGAGTCTGGCTGGTTTCCTTTTTTTGATGATTCCCAAAGCCTTTCTGTCTCTCTCACAGCTGGCTAGAGGCACTTTTTATAGCTTATTACTGAATGTTTACCATGAACTTTTAGATTGGAATTATTTCCTCCATTGGTCTAGAAACCATTCTTATCACGATCCTTCTGTCACAAGAGTCCTTCTTTGAAGCATGACTATGGCCTTTGGAGTTTAGAGTGAGAGAGAGAATGGACAGAGACTAGACCAATGGTCAGGTTTTCCCTTACCTACATCATGAAGATAGGCAAGCCCCTTCACAAGTGGCCCACAGAGAAGAAACAAGTCACAGAGTTTTCATGAATGAGTCCCTGCTCATTTTTCTAATACCTTCTCTCATTTAATCCTCCCAATCCTAGCCTTCTTATGCTGTCCCCATTACCATCCCCCTTTCTGTCATTTCCTGGATAGTTAAAGTCAACAGCAGAGGCAGCTTCTGGTATTTCCCTCCATAATGGTCTGTTCTGCTTGGACTTCATATAGTCTGTATACCAGCTCTTTCACTGCCTTTGGGTTTTTTTTCAGCAGTTGGATTTCTAAGTCTTTGTATGCCATCCGGTGGCCATCATCCTATATGACAAGGATTCTATATAATAAGGAAGATATACAGTTACCTGTTCCTTATTTACACCCTAATCACAGAAGACTAGGAATCAGGCAAGGCTGGTTCCTAGTCTTCTGTCAAGTTCTCTGCAATGAGTATGAAAAAATGACAACTAGAAGGGGAGCCATCTTCCATCTTGGAAAGCTTACAAGAGAAGAACGGGTCAGTTATATAACCAAAGCTGTTACTTCTATGGGAATTATAACCCTTCATGCAAGGGAAGGGGGGAGCAAAAACATTTTTTGGTCCTTTGCTCTTCAAACAGGGTCCCGAGCCTTGATTTCTGGGTTCTTTTTGAGCATCCCCTTTTTAAATTTTCTTGATTACTCTGTCCTAATGCATGCAGTGGGGTCTCTTCACCCATGACTCTTGTTAAAAAAGGTTGGTGTTCTGGGGCATATGGTGCATTGATCCTCTTCCTTCCACTTTCCATTAGATTCCTTAGCCCTGGGATACTAGCCAGGCTTAAGTTATTCCGGCAGAAGTTCTTATGATGATCATGGTAATGAGGCTGTTTCTCTTTGCTCCTGTTTCCATAGAGCACACCATTCCATTGGGCAGCATGGCAATTAACAGCATCTCAAAACTGACGCAACTCAACCAGTCTTCCGTGTATTCACTCCCGAATGCACCAACTCTGGCAGACCTGGAGGATGACGCACTTGCAGGTAACCTGAAGGAACTTGTGCTCTGAGTTAGAAGTTAGCCTGTTTGTTTCCCTTTTATAATGCTGAAAGCCGTAAGAAGATGCTGTGGCATTGTAGTACCTTTCCCCAAGCCAAAACCTTCCCCGCTGTGGCTCCTTAGGACCGTGGGAATAACATACAAAAACAGCCTGTATCCATAAAGGAAATTGTCGTGAAGAAATGCCAAGGTTGAGATTTTTGTTTTGTTTCCAGTACCCACTTCAGGCCTGGCACATAGTCGGTACTTAATGAATGTTTAGTAAATGAATGAATGTTACAGATCACTTGACTCAGCATTTCAGTATCAAGAGCTTTCAGGGAGCATGGACTCTAAATGCAGCTCCCTTCCTCCCTCCAGGCTCTTTGCCATCTCTGATTCAAATGGCTGCGAAAAGCTATGAGCAACTGCACATAAGTGAGGACTTTGTCGATTAGAATTGTGTTTGGGTGCGTATGTCAGAGACCCAGTTACAATATCTAAACTAAATAGGAGTTTATTTTTCTCATAACCAGAAATCTGGAACGAGGCTGATGCAGCTGTTTGAGAACGTCAATAATAAAGTCTCCCACTGGCTTTCTCCTGCACCAGCCTTTGGATATGGCCTTCATCCTCATCATTGAAGAATGTGGGCTGTACCTCCAAGCTTCCTGTCTATGTACCAGGGAGGAAAAAGAAGAGTGAAAGGCAAAACAACAATAAAAACTGTCTTTTGGCAGAATCTCTTCTTTTTTATCAGGAAAACAATAGTTTTCTCAGAAGTTCCTCCCAAAAGCCATTGGCCAGAACAGAGTCAAAAGTTTACCCATAGCTGCAGGGAATCTGAGGAAGTATGGTTAGCTGTGCCAGTGTTTTCCCCTCAAACAGAACTGGGGTTTAAGAAAGAAAGGGAGAATGAATATTGACTAAGCAACTAGTGTCTCCAATACCAAGGCCTTGGCTGCACTGAAGGTCTGGCAGAGAGAACTGATGCAAGGCTTCTCCATCAACTGCACAAGCAGGTCTACACTAGTTCAGGCAAGGCATCCCTTGGAGATACGCAGGTTCAGTTGCAGACCACACGAATAAAGCAAGTGCAAATGTATTTATTGGTTTCCCAGTGCTTATACAAATTAGGCTTATACTATGTTATGGCCTTTAAAGTGTGATTTCTAAAAAAACAGTGTACAACCTTAATCAAAAAGTACTTCATTGCTAACATGTCAACCATCATCAGCTCTCAGCAAGTTGTAATCTTTTTGCTGATGGAGGGTCTTGCCTCCATGTTGATGGCTGCTTAATGACCGGGGAGGTGGGTTGCTGAAGGTTAGGGTGGCTTGGCAATTTCTTAAAACAATGAAGTTTCCTGCATTGATTGACACTTCCTTCCATGAATAATTTCTTTATACTGTGCCATGCTGTTTGATAGCATTTTACCCACAGTAAAACTTTTTTCAAAATTGGTGTCTGTCTTCTCAGACACTGCCACTGTTTAATCATCTAAGTTTATGTGATAGTCTAAATCCTTTGTGCTGATTTCAATAGTCTTCATAGCCTCTTCACTAGGAGTAGAAGCCATCTCAAGAAACTACTTTACTCATCCATAAGAAGCAAGTCCTCATCCATACAAGTTTTATCAGGGGATTGCCAACAATTCAGTCACATCTTCAGGCTCTCCTTCTAATTCTAGTTCTCTTGCTGTTTCTACCACATCCAGTTACTTCCTCCACTGAAGTCTTGAATCCCTCAAAGTCATCCCTAAGGGTTGGAATCAACTTCTAGAGTCCTGTTAATGTTGATAGTTTGACATCTACCCATGAACCATGAATGTTCTTAATGGCACCTAGAATGATGAATCCTTCCCAGAAGGTTTTCAGTTTACTTTCCCTGGATCTATCAGAGGAATCACTGGTTATAGCTCCTATAGCCTTATGAAATATGTTTCTTGAATATTCAGACATATAAGTTCAAATGACTTCTTGATCCATGGGTTGCAGTATGGACGTTGTGTTATCAGGCATAAGAACATTCATCTCTTTGTACATCTCCGTCAGAGTTCTTGGGTGACCCACGTGCATTGTCAATAAGCTGTAATATTTTGAACTTTTTTTCTGAACAGTTGTTCTCAACAATTGGCTTAAAATACTGAGTAAACCATGTTGATAGCAGATGTGCTATCATCGGGGCTTTCTTGTTTCATTTATAGAGCACAGGCAGAGTTGATTTAGCATAATTCTTCAAGGCCCTAGGATTTGCAGAACGGTCCATGAGCATCGGCTTCAACAAAGTCACCAACTGCAGCAGTCCCTACAAAGAGTCAGCCCATCCTTTGAGGCGTTGAGGCCAGGCATTGACTTCTTTAGCTTTCAAAATCCTAGGTGGCATCTTCTAACAGAAAGATATTTTGTCTACACTGAGAATCTGCTATTTAGTGTAGCCACCTTTGTTAATAATCTTAGCTAGATATTCCAGATAACTTCCTGGTTTGCCTTGGACTTTTATGTTATAGAGACAGCTTTTCCTCAAACCTCATTAACCAATCTCTGCTAGCTTTAGACTTTACTTCAGCTTCCTCCTCTCTTTCAGCCTTAGAATTGAAGCTAGCCGTGCTCTGGAATAGGCTTTGGTTTAAAGGAATGTTGTGGCTGGTTTGATCTTCTATCCAGATCACTAAAACTTTCTCCATATCAACTATAAGGCTATTTTACTGCCTTACCATTCATGTGTTCAGTGGAGTAGCACTTTTAATTTTCTTCAAGAACATTTCCTTTGCATTTACAAGTTGGCTGTTTGGAACAAGAAACCTAGCATTCAGCCTATCTCAGCTTTCAACATGCCTTCCTCACAAAGCTTTTGATTTGTGAGAAACATGCAATTCTTCTTTTCACTTGAACCTTCCAAGGCCTTTGTAGGGTTATTGATTGGCCTAATTTCATTATTGTCTCACAGGGAATAGAGAAGCCTGAGGGGAGGAAGAGAGAGGGAATGGCCAGTCAGTGATGCATTCAGAACACATACATTTATCAGGTTTGCTGCCTTCTGCAGGTGTGTTTTATGGCACCTCAGAATGGTCAGAGTAGTATCAAAGGACTTTGGTCAAGAAGACAGGCACAAACCTCACCACTACCACATCTCTCAATCCCCACATTTTGCAGGCCCTTGGTCTCTGCAACAGTGACTATGACAACAGCTCCACCGGGCCCTGTGGAAGCCTGAAATCGTGCCTTGCTAAGGTTGAGTGCCCAACCATGCATACTTCACAGATCCGTTGGGGCTGAACTCTCCTCACAGCAGTGGTAGTAGGTCTCATTTCTCGAGCAAACTGGTGCATACCTTGTTAAAACATACCCCTACCCTGGCTGGGGACCAAACACTGCCCACAATAGGCAAAGAGAGCCTCTGCAGATGACTGCACTGAAGGAAAAAGAGTCCAGGACAGAGGGCACACACAACACATATAGGAGACACCTCTGAAGGGCACACACAACCCATATAGGAGACACCTCTGAAGCTCCAGGTCCCAGTGAACAGGGGACACTGTGCTTTAGGGAACTACAGAACTGCTTCTTCATAAGGCCATTACTTTTAAGAGCAAGAGATATGGCTGACTTTCCTAACACATAGAAACAGATGCAGAGTTAGACAAAATGAGACAGAAGAATATGTCCCAAATGAAAGAACAGGACAAAACCACAGCAGGAGACCTGAGTGAAACATAAAATATGCCTGATGGAGAATTTAAAGTAATGGTCATAAAGAGAATCACTGGATTTGAGAAAAGAGTGGAGAACATCAGTGAGACCCTTAAAACAGAGATGAAGAATACAATAAATGAAATTTTAAAATGCATATGGTAGCATAAATAGGAGGCTAGAGGAAGCAGAGGAATGAATTAATGACCCGGAAGACAGAGTAATGGAAAGTAATCAGACTGAACAAGTGAGGGAAAAAAGAATTATGCAAAGTGAGAATAGACTTAGGGAACTCAGTGACTCCATCAACATTATAGCAATACCGGAAGAGATAAACGGGGGGAGGGGCAAAAAATTTATTTGAAGAAATAGTATCTGAAAATTTCCCTTATCTGGGGAAGAAAACAGATATCCAGATCTAGGAAGCACAGAGATACCCCCACCCCAAAAATCAACCTAAGGAGGTCCACACCAAGACACATAGTAATTAAAATGGCAAAAAGTAGTCATAAAGAAAAATTTTAAAAGCAGCAAGACAAAAGAAGACCATCACATACAAGGGAAACTCCAGAAGGCTATCAGCAGATTTTTCAACAGAAACTTTGCAGGCCAGAAGAGAGTAGCAGGGTATAGTCAAAGTACTGAAAGGATAAAGAGTTCCTCAGATAAACGAAAACTAAAGGAGTCCATGACCACTAAACCAGCCCACAAGAAATATTAAAGGGGATTCTGTGAGTGGAAAGGAAAGACAATAATTAAGAATATAAAAAATAGGGCACCTGGGTGGCTCAGTGGGTTAAGCCGCTGCCTTCGGCTCAGGTCATGATCTCAGGGTCCTGGGATCGAGCCCCACGTCGGGCTCTCTGCTCAGCAGGGAGCCTGCTTCCTCCTCTCTCTCTGCCTGCCTCTCTGCCTGCTTGTGATCTCTCTCTGTCAAATAAATGAATAAAAATCTTTAAAAAAAATTTAAAAAAAAAAAGCAAGAAAAATATCTGTAAAAATCAGTCAAGGGATTCACAAAATAAAATTATGTGAAGTATGACACTGTGTACCTAAAATATGGGGGGAAAGGGAGTAAAGAATGGATTCAAACTTTAAAAGGTCACTGATCAAAGATCATCATAACAAACAATGCAAAAGATTGATATATTGCAAGAATTACCAAAATGTAACACAGACACAAAGTAAGCAAATGCTGTTGGAAAAATGGTGCCAAAACACCAACATAAGGTTGGCACAAACCTTCAATGTGTTTTAAAAATAAATAAATAAATAAAGCAAAAAAGCCCCACTATCTGTGAAGCACAATAAAA